ACTTTGCTTCCATCACACCAGCTTGTTGTTGATTTTATTTCCCTGTAACGGCGCAGCTCCAATTGTTTTATTCCTTCATTCGAGAAATTCATCAGAGGTCATGCAGTTGTTTTCATCAGTGCCCATGACACATCTGGAGCTCCGAGTTTAATATCAGTAGATTTCCTCTCTTACTCTCTTTCGCTCTCACAGTATCTCTCTTCCTCTCTCTCTCTCACTCTCTCACACTCACTCTTCCTCTCTCACTCTCTCTCGTTCTCATGGTATCTCTCTCTTCCTCTCACTCCCTCTCTCTCACTCACTCACTCTTCCTCCCTCACTCTCTCACTCTCTCTCTCACTCTTACTCACACTCTCTCTCGCTCTCACGCTATCTCTCTCTTCCTCCCTCTCTCTCTCTCTCTCTCTCTCTCTCTCTCTCACTCTTCCTCTCTCACTCTTCCTCTCTCTCACTCTCACGCTATCTCACTCTTCCTCTCTCTCTCTCACTCACTCTTCCTCTCTCACTCTCTCACTCTTTCTCTCTCTCTCTCTCTCTCTCACTCTTCCTCTCTCTCACTCTCTCTCTCCCTCTGGCTCTCACGCTATCTCTCTTTCGCTCTCTCTCTCTCTCTCTCTTTCGCTCTCTCACTCTTTCTCACGCTATCTCTCTCCTTCGCTCTCTCACTCTCTTTCGCTCTCTCTCACTCAATCTCACTCTCTCTCTCTCTCTCTCTCTCTCTCTCTCACTCACTCACTTGATGGTTAAACCCCTGTGTGTTTTTATTTGCAGCTGTTTCATCCTCTGTCTCTGACTTTCAGGCTCACATTGTTTGAGTTGTCCCTCTGGATGCATGCAGACTCGGCAGCTTAAATGCAAACGTCGATCGGACCAATAAACGGATCAGCTGTGTGTGTGTGTGTGTGTGTGTGTGTGTCTTTGTTGGCGGTCGGGGGAGGGTTCAAGGAATCTGACGGCCCATGAGACGGAATATTGACTGCTGACGGGAGACGAAGATAAAGGCAGGCCCGCATAATTACTCTAGCATTTCACTTGATCATATCAAACCATGTACAGCACTTCTGTATCATAAGACAGGAGCACACCACACACACACACACACACACACACAGACACTGAGCCAGATTTGAAAAGATTCAATTCAAGTCCCTATGAACGACCTTGGCAATTGTGCAACTTGCACGTGTTTAACACTTCAATCAGTCAGATGCCCTCTTGGTTTATTTCCCACAAGTTAAGTACATATGGTACATACATGAGAAGTTATTCTCATAACAGCAGTTAGTAGTATAGACATATTAGCATAAAACTATTTAAACGAAAGCAATTACGCATTTAAATATACACATAATATAAATAATGACCTACACCGATCAGCCAGAACATTAAAACCACTGACGTGAATAACATTTATTATCTGGTTACACCGGCACCTGTGACGTAGAGGGATATATTATATATTATTTTCGGCAGCAAGTGAGCAGTGAATTCTCAAAGCTGACGTGTCGGTAGAAGGAAAAATGGGCTCTGCTAATTTGCATTCTGCCGCTTAAAAACTAAATCCATGAAAGATTTTTCGGACCATTACACTTTAACTGCGTCGCATTTTTTAAATCGCATTATAACGGGGTGAATGTGACTTAAAACGGATTCTTTTGGACGTTCTTCTTCTCCGTGTATGAAGTATAACGCCGTTTAAATGAATCCGTGTCACGTTTGTTTTATTTTCGTTTTTTTAAATCATTTGTTCGTTATTTTTTTGCGATATATACATCACACAATGTTTCCCCACAGACGAGGATATGTTTGGTTTATTTTTTTTGTTTTAGTTTTAACCCTGTCGGTCCAGCCGTCTCGTCGATGCGACGAAATTCCAGGTTTTTATTTGTCTTCGAGTCTGAGAAACGCGTGTTCTGCTCCATGGTGCTGTAGATCGTGGGCTCGGGAACGAGTCGCAGGTTTTCAATGATGACTCATCATTAAAAATGTACCGTTTGTCCACGAGCCAGGCGCGCTGCTCACTGTCGTTTTATGTCCTCTAAGTGTGTCATCAGGCTGGTGGCATGATGCTGAGTGTGACGCAGCTCACACACACACACACACACACACTCGCAGGTCGAAGCTCTGTGCCGCCGTTTTCACCTCTTCGCACTCGTTCTCTTCTTCTCTCCTGCAGTTTTATCCCAGTCGGGTCACTTTGAACTCACTTTTTAAAAGTCACTTTGAACGCTTTTAATAAGGTCACTACTTTTGTAAACGTTTTTTTTCCCCCCTTTGTCATTAAAGACGTTTCAAAGCGTCTCCGCTTGGAGTCAGATTACAGCTCTTCTTTTCTAAACTTTTTGTTTTATTACAGTCTGTAGTTCAGATGATCTTGGCCTCGAGTAGTAGCTCTCGTGTTACGTTACATTTGTTCCTTTGGCAGATGTCAAACGTTTCAGTTTAGCATGTGAGGATTAAGGGTAGGGATGGAATTATATAATGACTAATTAGGGTAAGGCGCACAGTGGTGTAGTGGTTAGCACGTTCGCCTCACACCTCCAGGGTTCGATTCCCACCGTGCGGAGTTTGCATGTTCTCCCCGTGCTGCGGGGGTTTCCTCCGGGTACTCCGGTTTCCTCCGCCAGTCCAAAGACATGCATGGTAGACTGATTGGCGTGTCTAAAGTGTGTGTATTATTATATTGTTTAACGATCTTATCTTATTTTTTCCATTTAGTACTGCCCTTCAGAAGCTACATGAGAGATTTACACCGATCATCCTGTTCAAAAGTTTACCCCCCTTCTGCATCCCTGCAGGATCCCGTAAACGTAGTGTTTCTTTAGAGGAAACATTTCTAGTAGAACCCCTGGACCATCCAAAAAATCCTCTTTCTTAGAAGCGTTTCTTGTAAGAATGGACGATTTGTAAATAGCATGCTCTATCGTGTATATACGCTAGGTGTATACGTAGCGAGCTAGGCTGCTTTGCATAGTCTAGAACGGTCACGTGAGTGTGCGTGAGGAAGTCTGGACAGAAATGGATAAAAGGAGGAAATGACACTCCTTAAGAAATTCATATATTATCATATAAATTAAATCATAATGTCTCAAACCCATACACCCAGAGACAATCAGAGCCCCCTCTACATCCTAAATCATGGCTCGGGGCTTCACCATTGGCTTTGTCAATCCTGGGATTTGACCTCGCAACCTTTCGGGTCACCAGCAAATCGGTGCGTTCGCGAAAGCCGCTGCCGACCCTCGTGGTCCATCCGAGGTGTGAACGGATAAGCCGGTCGTATTAATGAGATGGTTAATGAGATTATCGCGGTCTGATTTCCACGAGCGTACTGTATGTGCGAGTGATTGGAGCAGCCATGCGCTCGCCGGTATGGCTGGCGGCACGCTGGCGTGGCCTCCGAACAACAGCTGCTGAAGACCGCAGGCGACACACACTCAACGTTTTAATCGGGGGGTTCGAGGCTTCCTGCTGAGAGACTGCCAAACCGGATCGAGACTCTCATTCTGCCATTGTTGGCTGGTTTATAATTATTTTATATATGTGTACACACAGTATATATCAGACATATTGAAACGTGCAATGTAGTGCATGTATAGTTGATTTAAACTTGCTAATATGGTTATGCCTACAAATGTATACTTAATTTATTTACACTAGTGATGTGTTTTGTGCGTCTGAGAGAGAAAGGAAACGTCTGCCTGCTATTTCAGTTCGTCCCACGCCCACGCAGTAGGGGATAAAATAACAGTAGGGACTCGTCACTGCTGAATTACAGACTAGAACCTTTGAAAGTGCCATGGACGCAAATGTGTGTTATTTCAGTGACATTCACCCAGCAATTAGCAGGATCAGAAAATAGCTCTGAAGAGGCAGGTGTACTGCTGTGTGTGTGTGTTAGTGACCGTACACCACATGTCCACATGTTTTGGGTGTGTTAGAAGCCATGCCTCTGCCTCTGCTTTGTTGTATTTACGATAGTAAGGTAGCAACAGAAGGCCTCATTATGGATACACACTGTCTCTGTACTCCCAGCCTGGGGTGGTGTGTGTTAGCAGCCCTGTCCCTCCCTCGCGTGTGTGCGCTAAAGCTGCCTCGCGCTCGGAATAATCTCCATGTATAATCACTGGCACGGAGTCACGGAGGAACGGCTGGAGAGCTTCCAGTGCGTTCTGCCGATGGTTGTTCTCCGTATATGGGTCACGACGAGGCTCGAGATGAACCTTTTTTTGGCTCGCAAGCTAGCTAGCCGGCGTAAATTTAGCTATCCAAAACATCGGCGTGCTAAATGCAACTCCGCAGATATTCTGTTTAGATAGTAAATAGTAACCGTTGTTTCAACGTTGTTTCCCTGTTTCTCCGCCCTCCGTGTTCTCCCCAGTCGGGTCACCTGCCAGTTCCCACCCACCATCCAGCTCTCCCCAGTCACAGAACAACTACCAACCAGGGAGGGTAGACATGTGCTTTCTCAGACACGCGTGAAGCCAGCTGACCGCATCGTTTCGAACCGCTGCTCGTGCTGCGTCGCAGGACAGAGTAATGCGTCGCACGAAGAGGGAAGCTCTATCCGCCCTCTTCAGCTTGCATACAATAAGCACACAGGCGGTAATAATTGGCTGGTGCTGCTGTGATTGACGAGGGAGACAGAGTATGCCTCTTCTATTTACAGAACATGGGCAATTTTTACTTGAACTCCTGGCATTGTCAGGATGCGAAATCACGATCTCTCCGAGTATATACATTGAATTGTAAAACTTTCATGTACTTTAAAACAAATTACTGAGGTAAATGTATAAATTCGTGTGTGTGTGTGTGTGGACTCCGTTTGAGCTTTATGCCCTGCTCTCCCTCCTGCGAACAGGCCAAATGGGATGCAGGCTCGGCCATGCGTGTGTGTGTGTGTGTGTGTGTGTGTGTGTGTGTGTGTGAGAGAGAGCTTTGTGCCCTGTTCTGCCCCTGGCTGAGTCAAACAGAGGAGCGTCTGTGCGTGTGATGACGGGACACAAGCGTGCTGTGAAAAGCTCGCTGCCAAGGCTGAAAACGTGTGAAAGAGGCACAGCATAAGCTCTTTACCCCTGAACTCTCCTCCATTCCCTCCCTCTCTATCTGTCTATCTATCTCTCCATCCCTCTATCATCTGCAGCACCAATTTACAGTGTGTGTGTGTGTGTGTGTGTGTGTGTGTGTGTGTGTTTATGTTGCCTGGTGCTCAAATATCCCATTAAAGCCTCAGAGAGTAATGGGGCTCGAATGAATGAAAGAGAAATAAACAAAGACAAAGGAGGAAGATTCAGATCAAATAAACCAGAGAGGGTGTGTTGAGGCACGAGGAAGGAGTAAAGAGTTGTTTTATAGCCTGTGTGTGTGTGTGTGTGTGTGTGTGTGTGTGTGTGTGTGTGTGTGTGTGTGTGTGTGAGATCTACCAAAAACCACATGAGCTTGGCTGTGTATCCACCCCGTCATTAAGGACAAGGTCACACTTCTTTCAGAAATCAAGAAGCAGCCATATGTAAGCGTAGGAGCTCCTTGACCTCTTTCATGCCCTCCATTTTTAATTTTTTTTTATTCTTTCTCTTTTTTTCCCCTCGAACAGTAACTGGTCTGTTTTAACCAGTTGAAGTGTCGACGTTTAGATATATAGACACGAGACAGCATTTTACGGCATAACACCGTCACGGCTGAGACGACTTGTCTCGATCTCTTCAGTTTGAGCGGTTGTAAACCGCACAGCTTTCAACACATGTTCTGTGAGAACGCCTGCTGATTCAGGATCAGCTTCCATCAATTCGCATCAAAAAAATGTCACAGGGAACTGATCCCAGATCAGATCAGGGCTTTCACAAGCTCATTTTGTCGTGTCGGTGTATCTCCAGGCATCATAGGGCGTGATGGTGTTGGTGAAACGTGCATAGAAATATCTAGAAATATAAACTCTCAGTTGTACTCCAGCCATTTATGTTCAAAATTTCTGACACACCTGAGACAACCAACAAAACATGTATAAAATGTTGTTATAGGAAAATATTCAACAACATGGCGGTGTAATGCAGCCCTGTTCTCACTCGGAAGTTGATTATTTTCCCATAACAACAGTATCTTGAAGTGTTTTTTGTTCTTATACCCCAACAATCTGCCAACGGTTCCATTTATTTATTTATTTTTTATTAGTGATGAAATTTCATACTTTATATAGTAACGTTTTGTCCATAAAACAAGTCAGTTCCTATGATCAGTTGTGCTATACCAGCTACAAACAGTAGTTCCTTCACGGATGTCTTTTTATTTCTCTTCCTTGTTGTTAAGACAAATAAGACGTCCGACTGTAATAAAGCACTGACACCGGAGACTCCTTCCATAAACCTTAAGTAAACAATTCCTGACAGAAATTCAGCAACATTTTTATGTGTGGCGCGTCCAGCATACAATTCGTGGTGTTCTTCTAGAAACAATATCATTATTAAAATAAATCCGCTAGGGTTAGAATTACTTGAATACATGATTGTATGCCGAAGTGTTTATACACACACACACACACCAAAAAAAACCCTGGTGTATTCTGCCAGGTTCACGTCAAGAGGCACGTTTCTGGCGGATACCAAAATGTCCTTGATGCTGATGCTTTATTCACTTCCTGAACGGCCCGATCATCTCCACAACACAGACATCATGAGTCTCAATTAACCCTGAAAGGGCCCTCTATTCGTCCCCCAATTTAGGCCAGACGGCCTGCTTCCGATCCTGTCGTGGCTAGATCGCTCGATTTTAGTTCCAAATCTTTTGAAAATGTCAGCGATGGCTATCTGTAACCCGTTTCTTTTAAAATGCTTTTAGCCTCGACATCGACGTCGTCGCTCTACTGAGTTCACTGGACCGTGACCGCTTAGGAATATTGTTCCTGAGGTAAATTTGTTTTCTTCAGGCTAAGAGGCGCTCTGATGGATGAAGCTGTCTCTTCCTCCCTTTCTCCCGTTGACCTCCTTTGTCTCTGGTGTTAGTCCTTTCTTTTTATATACGCATCCATTTATCAGGCAGGTCTCGCCTTTTGTTCAGCGCCGCAGAAAATTTGGATTGAACTTTAATCTCTTTTATGTTTTATCCCCCCCTCACCCTCCCTCCATGCCTCCCTCCATCCCTTAACCCACAGGCTTTTGATGCCACACCAGTCCATGAGATTAATTCTCCTACCTGCTTTGCAGAAGCTTGTGGCTTCATGGGGTGAAGTGAAAAGACTTTTACCTAAGTGATTCATTTTTGACAAAGCCTTATTTGTCCAATATTTTTTTTTCAGTAAACAGGAAGCTGAAGGGTGTGTCCAAGTAAATAATGCTTCTTTTACATCCTCATCATGGGCCCAATTGCAAATTATGTGATTATGAAGTCTTATACACTCGGTTTGTGTGGTTTCCAGCCTTAGTTAGATATCTTGCTTGATCTTTTTGCCTAAGAGTTCTTGGCATGAGTAATGGGTCTAACCTTCTAAACAGGTTCTCCTGAAGACATTATGAGGTTATTGGGATACAAGCTTAATCGTGCGTAATCGACTCCCGCTCCGTTCCGTTCATGTG